TTTTTTTTTTGGAGACAGAGCCTCAAGCTATCACCCTGGGTAGAATGCCATAGTGTCACAGCTCACAGCAACCTCCAACTCCTGGGCTTGAGTGATTCTCTTGCCTCAGCCTCCCAAGTAGCTGGGACTACAAGCACCCACCCCAATGCTCGGCTCTTTTTTGGTTGTCATTGTCATTGTTTGGCAGGTCTGGGCTGGATTTGAACCCTCCAGCTCTGGTGTATGTGGCTATCACCTAAGCTGCTTGAGCTACAGGCACAGAGCCACAAATCCTTTTAATAAAGGAATTTATTTTGTATGAAGTTTAGATTCAGTCAAGGGGCCATACTTGGGGTCAGGAGGGCCATATATGCAGCAGATGGCATCTACCTCACGGGGTTATTGTGAGAAATCAGCGTGTGGATGTGCACATGTGCATGTTTGTGCACAAACGACATACTGCCCCCTTTCCTGAGAAGCCTGGCACACTGGGAGCTCAAACATGGGTCTCACTGAGCCTGCCCACACACCCTCAGTCCCAGGCAGCACCAAGATGACTCTAATCTGGGTGCCTCTGTCCCATCCCCATGCCTTTGCTCACAAGAGTGGCCTCTTCTTTTTCCTGCCACTTTGAGGCTGTCTTTGATTGGGTCCTGCCTGACATCTCTGCTCTGTGCATCACTGCTCTAAATTTCCTCTGCCCTCTTGTCAGCAGGTAAACATACCAGAGATCATCTCTGAGAAAGTATGATAATCTTGTTTGTGCGTGTCTGTGTTTATTAAGGAGTGTGTGTTGTGCTTACATTGTTGTATATTGGTACCCTTGAGTGTCACAACTACTTTTTGGGGTGGCTGTCTCTGAAATCATGACAGGATTGAACTTTAGGTATTGTGAAGGCATAAGGTTGTTAGTGATTCATATCGTCTCTGGGAGTATCCAAGCAGAAAAGACTAAGACTCCTTTGTGGACAGATCACTGGCTGCCATCAGAGTGTGTCAAAGTAGCACCACAGGGCTAGAAGACCTTTGAAGGCAGGAATTCCAGGAAATGTTTGATGATGAATGTTGGTGTTGCCATCGCTGGAAGAAGGATAGGCACAAAAAACTTGTGTGAGTGGATGAGACCACCTCATCACCATAGCTGAGTTTCATACATTCTGGATAATGATGGAGGGACTTGTGTCTATTGTGGTGGGGAACCGTAAAGGACACATGAAGGGTGTGGTCGACCTGTAGTGCTTTTTCAGGGGATGAATAAAAATGAATAGAAATCCCATAGTGTGTCTGTGTCTGTTCTTTTGGAATTTGACTATTTGTCCAAGGGCTGCAACCTTGACTTCTGGGTCGGAGGGAGGGGAAAGTTGGAGGCTTAGATTCCTGGGTCCTGGGATAGTGGTGAATCTGTCCAGGAAAGCATTTCTTGGGCTGGGATCAAGACTCTTTATTTATATATGAGTTTTGCCACTTTGGAAGGAGTGCAGGTGCAGGTCTGTTTGAAGTTTGGGACTGTTTAAACATTGGGAGTTTGCAATGATAATGTCCCCTAGCTCTGGACCCTTCTCAGCCCATTAATGTCCTCAGTTTTTTCAGTCTTTCTGTAGCCAGGCCCTTGGATTATCCCTCTCATCCTAACTTGGCCATGTAATTTGTTTTGGTCACTGTAACAACAGCAATCATGATACAAGGAGAGGCTTGAAAAATGCTCATGTATTGCCTATCCTCTCACTGCCTTTGGGACCCCTGCCATCACTGCCACATCAAGATGCCCAGGCTGGCCAGGTGAGGTGGCTCACACCTGTAATCTTAGCACTCTGAGAGGCCAAGGTAGGAGGATCCCTTGAGCTCAGGAGTTCAAGAACAGACTGAACCAGAGTAAGACCCTGTCTCTATTAAAAATAAAAATTAAAAAAAAACTAGCAAGGGGCATTGTGGCAGAGGCCTGTAGTCCCAGCTACTCAGGGGGCTGAGTCAGGAGGATCACTTGAGCCCAGGAGGTCAAGGGTTCAGTGAGCTATGATCTGCCACTGTACTCCAGCCTGGGATACAGAGCAAGGCTCCATCTCTAAAAAAGAAAGAAAGAAAGAAGCTATATTTCTCAAGATGGATCACAAGTAATAGTAAAAAAGGAGTTAATTCTCTAAGAAGATGTAACCATCCTTAATGTATAAGCACTTGGCCAGGTGTGGTGGCTCATGCCTATAATCCTAGCATTCTGGGAAGCCGAGGCAGGTGGATTGCATGAGCTCAAGTAGTTCAAAAACAGCCTGAGCGAGAGCGAGATCCTGTCTCTACTAAAAATAGGAAAACTAGCCAGGCATTGTGGCAGGCGCCTGTAGTCCCAGCTATGTGGGAGACTGAGGTAAGATGATTGCTCGAGCTCAAGAGTTTGAGGTTGCTGGGAAGTATGACAACCAGGGCACTCTACCCAGGGTAATAGAATGAGATTCTGTGTCAAAAATAAAGATAAAGTATAAGCACCTAACAAGAAAGCATTAAAATATGTGAGTCAAGAACTAATAGGACTTCAAAGAAAAATAGATGAACCCATGGTGCTGTTAGAGACTTTAACACCATTCTGTCAATAATTAACAAATCCGGGGTGGCACCTGTGGATCAGTGGGTAGGACGCCGGCCCCATATACTGAGGGTGGCGGGTTCGAACCTGGCCAAATCGCAACAAAAAATAGCAGGGCGTGTGATGGATGCCTATAGTTCTAGCTATTCTGGAAGCTGAGGCAAGAGAATTGCCTAAGCCCAGGAGTTGGAGGTTGCTGTGAGCTGTGACACTGCGATAAAGTGAGACTCTGTCTCAAAAAAAAAAAAAGGAAAAAAAATAGACAAATGTAGCAGGCAGAGCATCAGTAAAAAATCAGTTGGGCTTGGCGCCCATAGCTCAGTGAGTAGGGCACCAGCCACTTACGTTGGGGCTGGTGGGTTCGAGTCCAGCCCGGGCCTGCTAGACAACAATGACAACTGCAACAACAACAAAACAATAGCTGGGTGTTGTGGCGGGCACCTGTAGTCCTGGCTACTTGGGAGTCTGAGGCAAGAGCATTGCTTAAGCCCCAGAGTTTGAGGGTGCTGTGAGCTGTGAACCACAGCACTCTACCGAGAGCAACACAGACTCTGTCTCCAAAAAAAAAAAAAAAAAAATCAGTTGAAATGAGCACCACCAATGGATCTAGTTAACATTATAGAAAAATTCATGCAAAAACAGCAGACTACACAGAACTCTCAGGTTCACATGGAGCATTCAGCAAGATACACCACATTCTGGGCCAATAAAACACACCTTAGCAAATTTAAAAGAACAGATATCAGAGAAAGTTTTTTTCTCACACCACAATGGAATTAAAGTATAAATAAACCACAGGAAGGTAGCTGAAAAATCCCAAAACACTTGGAGATTGAACACTTCTGAGTAACACATGGGTCAAATAAAACATTGCACAGGAAATCTAAAAAATGTGGCTAAAGAAAAAAAAAATAAAAATAAATAAATTTTAATACACTTGGCTTTTGTGCTCCTGTGATCTGTCATGAGAGCATTTTCCAAGGAGCCACTGATTGCAAAATATTGTGTTAATCCCAAAGAGAAGACCTGAATCAGATCCCAAACTGGAGCCAAACCCACAGCCTTAGAAGAATGCTTGTTATTAAAAGTTTCAGTTTGGAAATGATTTGTTACACAGCATTATTACAGTGTTAGTTGACTAATACGATTTTGTTATTTTAAACCACTAAGATGAGGGACTTGTTACTATAGCATCATCTAGTCAGTCACAATTTTGCCAATGTTTAGCACCTGCCAACTAATGGCCACTCAGTAAGTGGCAGCTATTATAATGATTACTATTTACTCAGACATACATATTGTCTCTAGAATCAGCAACGTTTTAAAGGTGTCAGGACCTGCACTAAGTGCTTTGTAAATTGCCTTTTATTTGACACAACAACTCTATGATGCTATAACTCAGTGATTTCCAGCTGGTGTGCTGTGGGACACTGGTGTGTCTTGAGAGGATCTTAGGTGCACCATGAAAAATTTTAAAGATCATCAATTAAATTATTTTTCAAAAATTCAAAGCACAGGCTCGGTGCCTGTAGCAGCT